TTGTAATAGGGTATACGTTATGATGATGATGATGTCCTCTTGCTGATGGGGCTCACCCACAAAAGGGGCGGTGGTGAAGCCCCAGCTGTTGATAGTGCCAAGTGCGTTATTTTGAGACACTCGATTTACGCCAGTGCTGTACAGAACGCCGTTCCAAGGAACGATGTTTCAGTAACTATAGCTCCTTTTGGGATCAATGGAAGAACACTACCGTGCTATCGTGGAACGTGGAACGCCACCGGAACTATAACGGTAACTCGTTACGTTTACGAAGGAACGGCAGCGGGAATGGTGCTACTTCCGTAGACGTTCGAAGGCACTGAATGGTGCACATAAGCGGCACATCATGTATAGACAACAGGGCGGATGGGAGACAGCGGGTGGTGTAAAGAAATGTACCGCTTGCTTGCCGCGTTACTGTGGAGCAAGGCATCCGCCAGGCGCGCAGGGAAGAGCGCCAAGCAGAGACCGACCACGTCCGAGAGGAACGGCTATTTTATTTTTTAAACGGTACTATTATGCTCGATGTTTTTCAGTTGTTGTTGTTGTTCTCCTATTGTATCATGATCATGCACCGGCACGTGCTCCCTGCGTCTTGTTCATCTTCTTCCTCTTCGCTCCCAGAAAACGTGCGTCGATTAGACCGCCGTTCTGAGTATGCAGCAACTGTGATGCGTGAGAGAACTATAGTACAGAGAAATATAAGTAAGATACAAAGAAAACAACAGAAACTCTTGGTGCAAAAATATTGCCGGTGACGGGACATTAGAACCTGCACATCTACGACCCAGCCGGAGGTCAGCGTCATAACCACTCGACTGTCTGGTTTGCGTCTTTTTTTTTTCTTTTATGCTATTTGTTGAACATATGTACAAAACCTGGAAGCAATTGAATGCAAGCAGAGAACTAACATATTAATTATGCTCGTATCACGGCGCGATAAACAAGACATAGCACTGAAGAATTCGCAATCTACTATAGAGCGAATACATCAAGTAACAGCCTTTTCCGATTCCACACTATACAGCGGTAAAAATCAACACCTCACCTCGCATACGTATATTATTCTGGTTGTCTTTCAGTAGGACTGAAAGCTGGGCCAGTTGGTGACAGTACTTGAATGTCATCTCAAGACAGAAGTTTCGCACTACTTTATTTGTAATCTGTCCATCGTCTCCCTACCGTAAGCGCATCGCCAAGACAAGCTAATATTACATTAAAATGATGAGAGATTCCAATTCAGTTACAGGAGCAAGCCACATGCCGGGGTGAAAAAGGGTGCCCAAGCCCTAGCCCCTTCCCCCCCTTCCTCAAGGTCCTGATGGATAAAGGTGTTTTACCGGATATAAGTAATGAAAATAGATGTTTCTTCTAAACTTATACAGGGCGCGGGTTCGAATCCCGGCTGCGGCGGCTGCATTTCCGATGGAGGCGGAAATGTTGTAGGCCCGTGTGCTCAGATTTGGGTGCACGTTAAAGAACCCCAGGTGGTCTAAATTTCCGGAGCCCTCCACTACGGCGTCTCTCATAATCATATAGTGGTTTTGGGACGTTAAACCCCACATATCAATCAAATCTAAACTTATAGTCACAATACTTTCAGCAAGTGCCCCGTTGCAGCACGCTCTCAAACGGGGCTGCGCGAAAATCACCGCGCACTGTTTATCTGGGTGGGTCACCTCGGCAGCGCGGTGATGGTGGTGGTGGCTGTGCGGTGACGCACGTTTTGCTAGCGGCAACAATAACGATAACCGCTGCCCCAAACCGCCGCGATGGAAGCATATCGTTCGTACGCGGTACGGTACATTGCAACCATGGCACGCAAGTGGGCATGTTACGACGCGGAAATTTTTGTGTGTTTCGCGGGCATCTGTATTAAGCGGGTAAACGCTAATGAATTAACAGATAAAAAAAATTTGAAACTGTCATATTGGATTTTTTTGCAAACTGATCTTCGATCGATTTCGGTTAGCATCGTTTCTTCAAAGCTTAGTTAAATAACGATATATATATATATATATATATATATATATATATATATATATATATATATATATATATATATATATATATATATATATATATATATATATATATATATATATATATATATATATATATATATATATAGAGAGAGAGAGAGAGAGAGAGATAAGGGAAACAAGTGTATACTTAAGGGCTCGTTTGTCGCGTTTGCACAATATTATTGAGATCTAACAGACAATAATGCCAAGGAAGGTATAGGGGAAGTTATTAGGTCAATTGTAATGTAAATGAGAAGAAAGAAAAGTGGGTGAAAAGATAGCTTGCCGTGGGCAGGATCCAAACCTGCAACCTTCGAATAACGCGTTCGATGCTCTACCACTGAGCTACCACGACAGCTATCACCCCATCCACTTTATTGGGTATCTATGTCAATTTAAACGTGAAAGTGTCAGTTAGCGCCACTAGTAGCCATGGCGGCGAGTGTGGCACACTCTTTATGAGCCTATTTGGCGTCACGTAGCACGTGAACTTATTACTAACCGGCAGCTGGCCAATAGCCCCTCGTATACAACCTAAAGGCACCAAGTCCGCCAGGACGAGACCCTCGTTAATGAATAAGGGAAACAAGTGTATACTTAAGGGCTCATTTGTCTTGCTTACACAATATTAATGAGATCTAACAGACAATAATGCCAAGGAACGTATAGGGGAAGTTATTAGGGCAATTGTAATGTAAATGAGAAGAAAGAAAAGTGGGTGAAAAGATAACTTGCCGTGGGCAGGATCCGAACCTGCGACCTACGCGTTATTCGAAGGTCGCAGGTTCGGATCCTGCCCACGGCAAGTTATCTTTTCAACCACTTTTATTTCGTCTCATTTACAATACAATTGACCTAATAACTTTCCGTATACGTTCCTTGGCATTATTGTCTGTTAGATATTATTATTGTGTAAAACACGAAAAACGAGCCCTTAAGTATACACTTGTTTCCTATATATATATATATATATATATATATATATATATATATATATATATATATATATATATATATATATATATATATATATATATATATATTCAGCAGGAAGTTCAAGGGGTCTGGTACGTATAAAGAACACAAGCGAGTACACGTACGAAAGAGCAATACTTTTATGCCAACGTTTCAGCCGTGGCACGGCCTTCGTCAGGGAATCCCTGACGAAGGCCGTGCCACGGCTGAAACGTTGGCATAAAAGTATTGCTCTTTCGTACGTGTACTCGCTTGTGTTCTATATATATATATATATATATATATATATATATGTGTGTGTGTGTGTGTGTGTGTGTGTGTGTGTGTGTGTGTGTGTGTGTGTGTGTGTGTGTAGAGAGAGAGGAGGGAGACTTGTTCGCAAACCCTGACGAAGACTGGTCCACCGGTCGAAACCATTGGTAATAAAATTAAGATAACCGCTAAGTTGTGTTTCCTCTCCTCCCAAGTACGTTCGGCCCATTGAAAAAACTTTTATATATATATATATATATATATATATATATATATATATATATATATATATATATATATATATATATATATATATATATATATGTGTGTGTGTGTGTGTGTGTGTGTGTGTGTGTGTGTAATGAAGCCTTGGATACAACAGCCATGCATGTGCTCTTCTGTCCGCTCTTGTGCATTCTTAATCATGCTGTACCACTAAGTCAATTATGCAGTCTTCTAAATAGTCTGAACACAACGCATAGGATCCCTGCATGCATCCCCCCCCCCTTCTTTTTCTCTTCAATCGAGTTGATCACGTTATACCATGTAGAGGAATACTGGCGCCAACCTGATAGCCCTAGCTGTAATCATGCTCAATGTATGGATTACAATATCTAGGTCAGTCAACCACATTGCTTATGTCCACTAATGATATGGAATCATCGGAAAATATAAAATTACAAGTATTATACCTTAGTATAAATATTTCTCTTAATAGAGTTAAAACAACGTACCGCCTTTTATAAGCACTTATATATGTCTTATTTATCAATGTCCCCGTGTCCCCCCCCCCCCCCGGCCCCGTTTTATTTTAACCAGACTGACATGAATAAGATTGGGCAAACTACAGTATTCGAACATATTGCTGAGAGTGTTTCCCTGGTGCAGTGGCGTGGCGGGCTGGCGAATTTTCTACGTTCGACATGTATCGTCGGGGCGGTGCTTGCATGGATGCATGTGCATGTCCACACGCAAACCGCAACAATCTCCCTTTCCCTTTCTTCTGGCTTTGCTTGTGTTCCCAGACCCGGTAATCGGAGCTGTGGTTTGCAAGACAACGAGGCGAGAAAAGTATTGCTTCGGAAGCAATGATACGTGTGTATACACAAGCAGCACTTGGCTGCCGCTCATATCACGCAGTTGCAAGAACATCAGCGCAGTTGATAGCTATGGGTTGCTATCATTATATCGCGCAGTTTGCAAGTACATTCCGAATCGTTGATTGCTTTGTGAAGAGACAATGCGTCGACAATATTTTATGTTATTCTTGCTATTATGTTAACGGGTACAAACAATTCTAACTCGTCACTTCACTCTACCAATTAGGCCGACTCAGCGTAAAGAAATAAAGAAACGACAGCACACGTGAGAACTGGACTTCAGAGAGAGAGGTAAACTTTATTAATTTCCGGTAGCTTCCTTGGCCTGCTGGATCGCCCTAAGTTGCTTGTCCAGGCACACCCGAATTTCTTCATTGGAGGCCGCGACCCCAGAATTTCTGCATTCCCATAGGTTATGGTAAAGAGTGGCTCTGGTGGTACAGTACTGGCATAGAATAGAACTTCAAAAGACACATTCTGTAGTGCGTGCGTCCTTTAACCGAGAATCGCTCAAAACGCAGAACGCGCTGAACCCCTACGACTCCGCGCAGGCCCGCAAACGCGCGGCCGGTGTGACGCGCTTCCCATGACGAAACGTGACGTCAGCGATTCCTCTTGCCCTTTCATTTGCAACGCGAACACTCGCGAGTCGCAAGAGATCCGCGATCAAGCAGGCTGCGAAGTTCAGCCAGCAGTAGCGTTGTTGCGGTCCGTGTCTTGTGTGCATTTACGCGCGCTTTCGAGTTTGCGCATTTGCTTACGAGGCGTGTAATCCGCCTCCTCAAAGCCTGTGCCTGTTCGCACAGACGCGGGCAGGACAATGAACGTATACGTTCTTCTGAGCCTGGCCATTGTTTTCTTGACGACATTCGTCGACTACGGTACGTAGACCTTTTCCCCCCCATTGTCTTGGAAGTGTTTTCGACGTTGTGCCATCGTGCGTGGCTCATTGAGGTGCCTATTAGAGAACTAACAATCGAGAATGTATCCGCTCGCGCACATTGAACGTTTGCGCGGCTTGAAGCATACACGCCCGCAGCAGTTTTTCGAGGAGGGTCAATGTCCATTGATCCGTCTTACCTTTCTCGACCGAATTCCTAGTGACGCAGAATGAAGGTGCGATCCTCTGGAGATTTCCGTAGTTGAACCGGCCTTCAAGACGCCTCGCTCGTAATCGGAGCCTCGTAGAATTGGCGTTAGGCCTTGCAGTGTTTTACGGTGTTATCGGAAAGCTCAGGCAACGTGTGAAATGTCCGACGTAGCATCTCGGCAACGCTACCCAAAGTTGATCAATCGCGGTACGTGTATTTGTCTGCGCGAAAGTCGATACCAAGAAGGAATGAATCATGCAGGCTGTTTCCGGTTGTCGTAACGTCAGTGAAGGATTTGCGTGGTCGCCGCTATGCACACCCTCCAAAACTGTTCAGCCTTCTCCATTTATGCGACATTGAACTGTGTGCGGGGCTCCATGGTGTTAACGTTAATTTTCTAAATGTTTATGTGGGTGTCATGTCGCAGAATCTTACAGATGACAACGTCATTCATGTTTGACTCGACTATAAAAATGCCGCTGTAAACCTGAATTTCCAATGTTTATCTCCGTAGGAGCGAGCAACAGTTGTAGATCTTCGTAGCATTTTGTGGCGAGGAGCAGTCGCATATTGGATTGATCAGCAACACTTGAACCGGATCGTTAGAATTTTCGCGCGACATTGTATCCGGAGACGTGTACACGGATAGAAGCACATTGTTCGCTTAGAAATGTAATATGCGTGCTCTGCACTGGGGCGTATAGAATAAGCGGAAAGACCGTAGTGAAACCGGGAATTCAATAAGTGTCGTTTCTACAGCTGCTTGACATTGCTTTCTATTCGAATATAGACAGCACCCAATCATTGCATATCTGTTCAAAATCTAGGAGGACGAGCAGGGCGAGTTGGCTGAAATGCATGGTACTTGAACAGCACAAAAAATGTGACCTAGAAAGAGAAGAAAAGATCCACGCTGTACTTGTGCTTTACTTGCACCTGGATGAAGGATTTTGTTTCATAAGCTAGGGAGCAAGCATATGCACATGCTTATTGTCAAAAGACAACACTGGTAAGATGTCAAAAGCCGTGCCTCCAGGGTGAGTTGGCTTAGCTTCATGGTTCAAAATGCAGCGCATAAAGACGACACATAAAGGAGGGAGGACCCAGTGTTTGTCCTAGACCTAGCGCTTGTCCTGTGTCCTCCCTCCTTTAGCCACCTTTTGCCCCGAGTTATCAGGACTGTCTGTTTACAAGATAAGGCAACAGAAGGCCACCAAACACAATTGATTCCTTTTTTGTAGCGTAAACATCTGCCACTTCTCAAGCACACATATCTTTGTGCACAAATACTATACCAGAAACACACAGGACCTAACCCTTATCACTGCTTTGAAGTGCCTAGTCAGCTGAAACACAAGTGAATGCTTACTTGGTTCACGCTATCTATAAGTCTTGCAAGCATTATTTTGGTCGTGCTCTGTGTATTAAAAGTAGATGCTGCATTCTTTAGAGGTTTAGTGAAAGCATTTCAAAGATTGACCCACTAGCATCAGAAAGTAAGTTTTCGTTAAGCCTGATTTCTTGGCATTTAAGTGAATTTTCCAAGCAATAGTTATCAGTAGGAGAAAGGTACTTTGACATTCTCACACACTCATTTACCTTTCTATTGGTTCTAGCTCTTGCAACAACATGTACCAAAGAAACATTCGGCAGGACCCAGTACTTCACTTGCCCGGGTCCCGTGGACCGACCAGTTGCGCAATATTGTTGTGGCACCAAGAAGTTCCGATACTGCTGTGATCTGAGCAACTACTCGGATGCCATGTAAGTATCCTCATGGCCATGACCAGGCATACCATCCTTCTTTTCTGAACTCGATGGCCCTGTTATTCATAGATGCGAAAATATGATGCCAAGGAAAGGGATAGAGGCGTGTTTTTGATTTTAGAAAACTCGGCTATAGTCACTAGAAATGAATGTGGTTGAAAGAACCACTCGCCATTTGCAATAAAATAATCTGTAGTCGCTGCATTATGTGTGTGGTGCACTGCCAGTGTATTGTGGCATGGTCTGTTAGCCGTCTACTTCCTCTCATACTCTTGTATGTCTTGGAGTGTTTGCCAGTGCCACTCTTGTCCGTGGTCGCAAGTGCAGAACATTACTTTTTCCTGATGGCATCGTGTATCGCATGAACACTTTCGAAACGGGCAACCTGGCCAGCAAACCTTCGCATGATACTGCTTGAAGTTTGCGAGCTCTGTTCCCACTAGGGACAAGTTTCCCTCATCTTAAAATTGCTGTGCTTAAATTTGAAATGACAAATAATCTCCCCTATGCTTTCCTTATAACGTTTGCTAAGCTTTAGGGAGTTGCAGGAGTGTTGTGTAACCAGTTTTAGGAGCAGGGTGTTATAAAGAGGTTAGGGCCAAGATAACTAAGAGTGATATTGAGAGAGCTTGATTATATGTCTTCTCGCGGTGTCATGCCCACCAGAGTGTAGTGATCTAGTGAAACGGTTGTAATTTTGTCTGTCTTTTGCATGTTGTACTTGGTCCGACCTTTTGTTGTTGCTTGCGGGTGACGTTGAGGTAAATCCAGGGCCTATGTCGAAGGCGGAGGCTGACGCATTCGCCCAGGCACTGGAAACTGTACGGGAACTCAAAGATGAATACGCTGCTTTGGTAACGCAACATAACACAGTCCTCGACGAAATGAAGCAACTAAGGCTAAAGGTCGATGCGTTAGGAAAGGTTCATGCCACCGGAATTGCGGCTAAGGACAGTACAGAACCAGCTCTTCGCGATATGTCTGAAAAGCTGAAGTCAACTGTACATGAGATTAAGCGCCTAAGTACAAAAGTGGTATCACTTGAAGAGGCACAGTCTTCGGCAGGTATGAGTTCTAAGGCTACACCTGCAGACACACTGCGAGGATTCACGGATCAGCCTACATCAATATCTTCACGATGTGATGAAGCGGAAAATAGGATGTGTCGATCCAACCTACTCTTTTTTGGTTTGGAAGACAATGCTAATGAGGATTGGGCAGCTTCTGAACAGAAAATTATTAGGTTTTGTTCTGAAAAATTGCAGCTTGCACTCACTGGTACTCAGTTTGAAAGGGTTCATAGATTGGGTAAACATGATAAAGAAAAGTGTCCACCAATCATTGCCAAACCTACCTTTTTTAAAGATAAGGACCAAATCTTGTCGCGTGCCCGAAATCTGAAGGGCACTACGTTTTCAATATGCGAAGATTTTTCATTGGCAACGCTACAGACCCGCAGAAAGCTAATAGAATTTGCCAGAACTCAAAATAAGCCATTTAGGCTTGTAGTGGACAAGCTGCGCATCGAAAATCCAAACGTGAAATAGTGTCATCTTATATCGATGATAACCTTTCTGATATTCTTGTCTTCACTGAGACATGGCGTAACGCTGACATCAATGACAATGAGATTTTTACGCATGCTAACAGATACGTCTATGGAAGCGATCGTCCAGACAGAAGGAGTGGTGGTGTTCTTATGCTGTTAGAAAAACCATCACGTCTTATGTCGTCGCTTCCCATTATAAAAATTGAAATTATATGGGTAGGTTGCACAATTCATTCCACCAGGATGTTGCTCGGCAGCTGTTATTGTCCTCCCGATTGTCATCATTCTTTCTTAGAAGAGTTGCGCAGCAGCATTAATTCTGCCATCAAAATCTGTGAGGCTCGCATCGTTTATTTATTCGGTGATTTCAATCTACCATTTATTGACTGGGAGCAGCTGTCATCTTCTTGCAAGTACTCAACTGACTTCATTAACTTAACTTTAGACTTTCATTTGGCTCAGCTTGTCACTCACTCAACTCGCGGTTCAAATACATTTTGACCTCGTTCTTACAACTGCACCTGAAACTCTAGACCACATAAACTATTTGAATGGCTTTAGTGACGACAAACTGCTGCAAGTTGATCTTTCTATCTTGCCACCTTTTGCAGGAACCGAATCAAAGAAAATTAGAGATTATAATAAAGCCGATTACGATGCCATTAACAGGAAACTTGAGTCTTTCCTTGACAATGTGTTGCTGCCTTCCTTTTACAGTCGCTCAGTTGAGAAAAACTGGGTTCTTTTCAAGAATGCGATTTCAGCCCTAATAGAAAAACACGTGCCGTTGATAACGATTACGAATGATAAAACTAATCCATGGTTCACCAAGTCTTTGCGCAGACTTAGAAACAAAAAGAAGTGGCTTTATCGGTCTGCAAAAAATTCTCGTTCACACACGTCTTGGGATAGATACGAGGAATGCCTAAAGAAATATTGCCACGAAATTACAAGTGCGAAAAATAAATACTATTCCCAGGATTTACCTTCACTCCTAAAATCTAATCCGAAAAAATTCTCGAAAGTAATAAGTCCTGATCAGGACGATAACTTCATTTCATTAAAAGATGCAAATAACACTCCTTTTGCCGACACTGATTGTCCTCATGTCTTTAATTCATTCTTTTCATCCGTGTTTACTAGCGAGCATACTCATCTTCCAGAAATTGTATAACGCGATTACTCATTCATGTCACCTATAGATATCACAATTGAAGGAATAGTTCACATTATTGAAAATGTGAACATGTCATCATCTTCTGGTATTGACGATATCAATTCAAAAATATTAAAGAACACTGTTTATATGTCTGGCAATATCTTGTTTCACATTTTTCGGCAGTCGCTCGCTACAGGAATGTTGCCTTCTGACTGGAAGATAGCGAAGGTAGTGCCAGTTCATAAAAGTGGTAGTAAAAGTTCACCTGGAAATTATCGCCCCATTTCCTTGACGTGCATACGTTGCAAGATGCTTGAGCATATCATAGCTTCTAACATTTATGTGCATCTAGAATCTAACAATTTCTTTTTCTCAAACCAGCACGGGTTCCCAAAGGGTCGTTCTTGCGAGACTCAACTCTTTGAGTTCACCACCGACCTACATTCTAACATGAATAGTAATCTACAGACAGATCATTTATTTCTTGATTTTGCAAAGGCATTCGATCGTGTTGCTCATTGTTGCTTGATATTAAAACTGTCATCGCTAAAACTTGATTCACTCACGCTAACATGGCTCAGAAACTTCCTAACTAACCGCCAACAATTCACTATCGCCAACAATCACTCTTCATCACTCTGTTACGTTTCCTCTGGTATACCACAGGACAGTGTTCTTGGTCCCTTACTTTTCCTCATCTACATTAACGACCTACCTGACAACTTATCTTCATGTATGCGTATATTTGCCGATGACAGCATTATCTATCGTCCCATCCGCAACAATAGCGATCATCTAACTCTTCAAAAAGACCTCGAGCATATAATTTAGTGGTGCAAAACATGGCATATGACACTTAATGTTTCCGAATGCAAACTAATCACCTTTAGTCGCAAACGTGATAACTTTAATAGCCAATACATAATTGATAGTAGCATTGTAGAATGCACTGATCATTACAAATACCTAGGCATAAACTTAACTTCTACACTTTCGTGGTCCACACATATCACTTCTATCTGTGCCAACACATCAAGATCATTAGGTTTTCTGGGCCGAAATCTATACAGTGCTCCCTCCGATGTGCGCAAACTGGCTTATCTTGCTCTAATTCGTCCTCAACTGGAGTTCGCATCCTCCATTTGGTCACCATATCAACAATACTTCATAGATAAGTTAGAATGTATACAGAACAGCGCTAGTCGATTCGTAGCGCGTAATCACGGCTACCCATCCAGCGTAACACAGATTAAGCATAGCCTTGCACTCGAGCCACTGAAAATTCGCCACAACATCTCACTTTCATCTCTATTTCACAAACTCATCCACACCAGCATGATGCCATCTGTTCACCCTAATCTAGCACATCGAACTTCGAGCAGACTACATAACACCTTTAGCTTATCACGCATGTACGGCAATACTAACGCTTTCAACCAGTCGGCTCTTCTACGAGCTATTCGTTTGTGGAATGATTTGCCAGATGATCTTGCGTCAGAACAAGACCACACAAAGTTCTATCATACTCTTAAAAAATACTTATGCACCAAAAACTGCTCTATCGCATCTTCGTAATCACCAGTGTTTATAGGACTGTTGCCGATGTTTTTGCACTATTGCTAGGTTGTAGTTACTGTCATAAATGTTTTTTTTTGTATTTCACCTTCACATACTGTAACTCACTTTTCTAGCATGTATTTTGCTTACATGTTCATAAGTTGAATTGCATTTTCTATTATATTCATTATTTGCCTATGTATGTGTAGATATTATGTATATATATTTTTATAACATATTATCTGTACTGCCCCCCTTACACAATGCCCCTCGAGGGCTCTGTAAGGTACTGTAAATAAATAAATAAACATGACTGGATTGCATTTAGCCGCATTTTTCAAGGAAGCATTGCTCCTTCACTCCAGTGTTAATGGACCGTCCTGTCTATCCTATATATAACCTACCACTCGAGAAAGGAATTCAGTACATGAAGCCACATTCACATGGCCCATACTTCTGGAACTTCTGCTTGTACTTAATTGCACATTTCTTGTGGTGTCGAGAGTGCTATTTCGATTATATGAGTTCCACAATTAGACTAACACAAGCCCTGGAGGTGTGTTAGCCTAAATACATTCAGTAGTTCCTGCTATCTGTACAGTTATTGATCATGTAGGGAAGGAAGGAGGCTTAGGATTACTACAATGGAATGAAATATGTACTGTCTCATTATGTTAAGAGACATGAACCAAGTAAAACATCAGTCTTCAATATGAGATTGTCCTGTTAGGA